AATATTCACTGTAATGAGATATATTTTAATAAGAATGTATAGTGATTGTAAAAATTCTTGTCTCCAATTAAGGATTTGACATTACAACATGCATCACATTAATTTCTGAATTGATTGCAACAGCAAATATTCTGGATTAAAAGCTGAAATTAATGTTTATTTTTTTTGTTTTCATTACAGATACAGCCTAAATATGTAAGACTCCTATACCATGAAAGATGCTTCCATTGCAGATGTACATTAGGATAAGTCACATGTAGGCATTTGGTCATTACAATTTTCCTTCAAACTATATTTATATTTGTTAGGTAATAAAAATCAGTTTTTTCCTGAAACAACAGATTGAAGCTTTATAACAAATTGGTCTCAAAAAAATTTCTTCAAATTGATACTCTAATGAAATATATTCTTAATGGAATGTATAGTAATTATAAATATTCTTGTCCAACATGCAAAGATTAAATTCTGAAAAAATTGGAACAGCAAATAGTCTGTATTTAAAGCTGATATTAATTTATAGTTTTTGTTAAAGATACATCTAAATATGTTGCACTCCTAGACAGAGAAGATGGATTCATGGCAGATAGGAAAAGTCAACATGTAAGTATTTGGTCATTACAATTGTACTTAAAACTATGTTAATATTTGGAAGTCAATAAAAATCTGTTTTCACTGAAACAATAGCTTAAAATTTTATTACAGATTGGTCTAAAATATCTTTTATTCGAATTTCAAATGTGGTATATTTTAATAAGAATGAAAGAGTAATTGTAAATTAATTGTCCGTAATTTAAGATTTGACATAAAACATGAATCACATTAATTTTTTAATTTTTTTAACAGCCATTAAATATTCTCTAAAGCTGATGCTAATTTAAATTTTTTCTTTTGTAACAGATACAGCCCAGATATGTTCCACTCCTACCCAATGAATATGGTTTCATGGTAGATGCACATTAGGATGTTTAACATGTAGGTAGTCATTACAATTGTACTTTAGACTATGTTTATATGTGTTGGGTAATAAATATCAGTTTTCTCTGGAACAAAAGCTTAAATAAAATATTATTTCAAATTAGTGTACATATTTCTTTTGTTCAAATTTATAATCTAGTGAAGTAAATTTTAACATGAATGCGTAGTCATTTTAAATATTCTTGTGTCCAATTTAGGATTTGACATAAAATATGAGTGACATTTATTTTATAATTGTTGCAACAGCCAACAGTCTCTATTTGAAGCTGATACTAATTGATGATTTGGTTTTGTTATAGATACAGCCTAAATATGTTACACTCCTAGACAATGAAGATGGTTTCATGGTAGATTGATCACACATCTGGATACGTAGCATGTAGGTATTTGGTATTTTTAATTGTACTTTAAAACTATGTTTATATGGTTTGCAGTTAACAAAAATAAGTTTTCCCTGGAAGCTTAAATTAGATTTGATTACAAATTGATTTAAAATTTCTTCAATTAAAATTTATACTCTTATGAAGATTATTTTAATGATAATGTATAGAAATTGTTTACATACTTGTCTTCAAATTAGGATTTTTCATCAAAAATGCATCATATTAATTTTGAATTAATTGCAACAACCAATATTCTCTATTTAAAGCTGATACTGATTTAGAGTTTTTGTTTTTGTTACAGATACAGACTAGATATGTTACCCTCCTAGACAATGAAGATGCTTTCATGGTATACAGCACACGAAGATTTGTATCATGTAGGTATTTGGTCATTATAATTGTACTTTTAACTCTTTTTATATGTGTTGGGTAACAAAAATCAGTTTTCCCGTTGAACAACAGTTTAAAATTTTATTACAAATTTGTCGAACATTTCTTTTATTCAAATATTTACTGTAATTAGTTAAGTAATTGTAAATATTCTAGTCTCCAATTTAGGATTTGACATAAAACATGCATCACATTAATTTCTGAATTGATTGCAACATCAAATATTCCCTATTTAAAGCTGATACTAATTTACAATTTTTGTTTTTGTTACAGATAACGCCTAAATATGTTACACTCTTCGACAATGAAAATGGTTTCATTGTAGATAGCACATTAGGATTAGTCACATGTAGGTATTTATTCATTACAATTTTTTTAACTGATACTAATTGATGATTTGGTTTTGTTATAGATACAGCCTAAATATGTTACACTCCTAGACAATGAAGATGGTTTCATGGTAGATTGATCACACATCTGGATACGTAGCATGTAGGTATTTGGTATTTTTAATTGTACTTTAAAACTATGTTTATATGGTTTGCAGTTAACAAAAATAAGTTTTCCCTGGAAGCTTAAATTAGATTTGATTACAAATTGATTTAAAATTTCTTCAATTAAAATTTATACTCTTATGAAGATTATTTTAATGATAATGTATAGAAATTGTTTACATACTTGTCTTCAAATTAGGATTTTTCATCAAAAATGCATCATATTAATTTTGAATTAATTGCAACAACCAATATTCTCTATTTAAAGCTGATACTGATTTAGAGTTTTTGTTTTTGTTACAGATACAGACTAGATATGTTACCCTCCTAGACAATGAAGATGCTTTCATGGTATACAGCACACGAAGATTTGTATCATGTAGGTATTTGGTCATTATAATTGTACTTTTAACTCTTTTTATATGTGTTGGGTAACAAAAATCAGTTTTCCCGTTGAACAACAGTTTAAAATTTTATTACAAATTTGTCGAACATTTCTTTTATTCAAATATTTACTGTAATTAGTTAAGTAATTGTAAATATTCTAGTCTCCAATTTAGGATTTGACATAAAACATGCATCACATTAATTTCTGAATTGATTGCAACATCAAATATTCCCTATTTAAAGCTGATACTAATTTACAATTTTTGTTTTTGTTACAGATAACGCCTAAATATGTTACACTCTTCGACAATGAAAATGGTTTCATTGTAGATAGCACATTAGGATTAGTCACATGTAGGTATTTATTCATTACAATTTTTTTATTTAAACTAGGTTTATTAGCTCACCTGGCCCACAGGGCCAAGTGAGCTTTTCTCATCACTTGGCGTCCGTCGTCGTCCGTTAACTTTTACCAAAATCTCCTCTGAAACTACTGGGCCAAATTTAACCAAACTTGGCCACAATCATCACTAGGGTATCTTGTTTAAAAAATGTGTCCGATGACCCCGCCTGCCAACCAAGATGGCCGACATGGCTAAAAATAGAACATAGGGGTAAAATGCAGTTTTTGGCTTATATCTCTGAAACTAAATCATTTAGAGCAAATCTGACTATGGGAAAAATGTTCATCAGGTTAAGATCTATCAGCCCTGAAATTTTCAGATGAATCAGACAACCCTTTGTTGGGTTGCTGCCCCTGAATTAGTAATTTTAAGGAAATTTGGCAGTTTTTTGTTATCTTGAATATTATTATAGATGGAGATAAACTGTAAACAGCCATTATGTTCAGCAAAGTCAGATCTACAAAGAAGTCAACAAGACCAATATGGTCAATTGACCCCATAAGGAGTTATTGCCCTTTAAAGTCAAATTTAACAATTATTCGTAATTTTTTGTAATCTTTTACAAAAATCTTCTCTCCTGAAACAACTGAGACAAATTTAACCAAACTTGGCCACAATCATCACTAGGGTATCTTGTTTAAAAAATGTGTCCGATGACCCCGCCTGCCAACCAAGATGGCCGACATAGCTAAAAATAGAACATAGGGGTAAAATGCAGTTTTTGGCTTATATCTCTGAAACTAAATCATTTAGAGCAAATCTGACTATGGGAAAAATGTTCATCAGGTTAAGATCTATCAGCCCTGAAATTTTCAGATGAATCAGACAACCCTTTGTTGGGTTGCTGCCCCTGAATTAGTAATTTTAAGGAAATTTGGCAGTTTTTTGTTATCTTGAATATTATTATAGATGGAGATAAACTGTAAACAGCCATTATGTTCAGCAAAGTCAGATCTACAAAGAAGTCAACAAGACCAATATGGTCAATTGACCCCATAAGGAGTTATTGCCCTTTAAAGTCAAATTTAACAATTATTCGTAATTTTTTGTAATCTTTTACAAAAATCTTCTCTCCTGAAACAACTGAGACAAATTTAACCAAACTTGGCCACAATCATCACTAGGGTATCTAGTTTAATAAATGTGTCCGATGACCCTGCCTGCCAACCAACATGTCAGACATGGCTAAAAATAGAACTTTGGGGGAAAATGCAGTTTTTGACTTGTATCTCTGAAACTAAAACAAATGTATAACGGTTGCATTATTTCATGCATCAATTGTAAATAAAAATATCAGGTGAGCGACACAGGCTCCTTAGAGCGTATTTGTTAGGCATTAAAATCAGTTTTCACTGAAACAACAGATTGAAGCTTTATAACAAATTGGTCTAAAATTTCTTTTATTCCTATTTATATCCTAATGAAGTATATTTTAATAAGAATGTATAGTTATTGTAAATATAAGTCTCCAATTTAGGATTTGACATAAAACATGCATCACATTAATTTCTGAATTGATTGCAACAGCAAATAGCTTTGATTTTGAAGCTGAAACTAATTTAAAATATTTGTTTTTGTTACAGATTCTGCCTAAATATGTAAGACTCCTATACCATGAAAGATGCTTCCATTGCAGATAGCACATTAGGATTAGTCACATGTAGGTTTTTATTCATAACAATTGTTCTTAAAACTATGTTTATATTTGTTAGGTAATAAAAATCAGTTTTTCCTGGAACAACAGCTTGAAATTTTATTACAAATTGGTCCTACATTACATTTATTGAAATATTCACTGTAATGAGATATATTTTAATAAGAATGTATAGTGATTGTAAAAATTCTTGTCTCCAATTAAGGATTTGACATTACAACATGCATCACATTAATTTCTGAATTGATTGCAACAGCAAATAGTCTGGATTAAAAGCTGAAATTAATGTTTATTTTTTTTGTTTTCATTACAGATACAGCCTAAATATGTAAGACTCCTATACCATGAAAGATGCTTCCATTGCAGATGCACATTAGGATAAGTCACATGTAGGTATTTGGTCATTACAATTTTCCTTCAAACTATATTTATATTTGTTAGGTAATAAAAATCAGTTTTTTCCTGAAACAACAGATTGAAGCTTTATAACAAATTGGTCTAAAATTTCTTTCATTCAAATTTATACTCTTAATGCTGAATATTTTAATAAGAACGTATAGTAATTGTAATTATATACTTTTCTCTATTTTGGGATTTAACATAAAACATGCATCACATTATTTTCTGAATTGATTGCAACAGCAAAGAGTCTGGATTTAAAGCGTAAACTAATTAATAATTTTTGTTTTTGTTACAGATTATACAGCCTTAATATGTAACACTCCTATACCATGAATGATGCTTTCACACATTAGGATGTTGCACATGTAGGTATTTGGTCATTACAATTGTTCTTAAAACTATGTTTATGTTTGTTAGGTAATAAAAATCCGTTTTTTCCTGAACAGTTTGACAAAAAGATGCTTTATGTTAAAATGGGTCTCGTAAACGCAGACCTCTGCAGAGAGCAAACTTTAGATTTTGATATAACATTGATAAATTTAATGGGCGCTAATCTCGTAAAAGCAGATCCCCCAGCAGAGCTGATTACATAGTATGATAACTTGTGTTTATGGTAAAATGTATTTAGTTTTTTTGTCTGGCTCTATTTCATGATCAACCAATTTGAAACTTTATTACAAATTGGTCTCAAAAAAATTTCTTCAAATTTATACTCTAATGAAATATATTCTTAATGGAATGTATAGTAATTATAAATATTCTTGTCCAACATGCAAAGATTAAATTCTGAAAAAATTGAAACAGCAAATAGTCTGTATTGAAAGCTGGTATTAATTTATAGTTTTTGTTAAAGATACATCAAAATATGTTGCACTCCTAGACAGAGAAGATGGATTCATGGCAGATAGGAAGAGTCAACATGTAAGTATTTGGTCATTACAATTGTACTTAAAACTATGTTAATATTTGGAAGTCAATAAAAATCTGTTTTCACTGAAACAATAGCTTAAAATTTTATTACAGATTGGTCTAAAATATCTTTTATTCGAATTTCAAATGTGGTATATTTTAATAAGAATGAAAGAGTAATTGTAAATTAATTGTCAGTAATTTAAGATTTGACATAAAACATGAATCACATGAATCACATTAATTTTTTAATTATTTTAACAGCCATTAAATATTCTCTAAAGCTGATGCTAATTTAAATTTTTTCTTTTGTAACAGATACAGCCCAGATATGTTCCACTCCTACCCAATGAATATGGTTTCATGGTAGATGCACATTAGGATGTTTAACATGTAGGTAGTCATTACAATTGTACTTTAGACTATGTTTATATGTGTTGGGTAATAAATATCAGTTTTCTCTGGAACAACAGCTTAAATAAAATATTATTTCAAATTAGTGTACATATTTCTTTTGTTCAAATTTATAATCTAGTGAAGTAAATTTTAACATGAATGCGTAGTAATTTTAAATATTCTTGTGTCCAATTTAGGATTTGACATAAAATATGAGTGACATTTATTTTATAATTGTTGCAACAGCCAATAGTCTCTATTTGAAGCTGATACTAATTGATGATTTGGTTTTGTTATAGATACAGCCTAAATATGTTACACTCCTAGACAATGAAGATGGTTTCATGGTAGATTGATCACACATCTGGATACGTAGCATGTAGGTATTTGGTATTTTTAATTGTACTTTAAACTATGTTTATATGGTTTGCAGGTAACAAAAATAAGTTTTCCCTGGAAGCTTTAATTAGATTTGATTACAAATTGATTTAAAATTTCTTAAATTCAAATTTATACTCTTATGAAGATTATTTTAATGATAATGTATAGAAATTGTTTATATACTTGTCTTCAAATTAGGATTTTTCATCAAAAATGCATCATATTAATTTTGAATTAATTGCAACAACCAATATTCTCTATTTAAAGCTGATACTGATTGAGAGTTTTTGTTACAGATACAGACTAGATATGTTACCCTCCTAGACAATGATGATGCTTTCATGGTATACAGCACACGAAGATTTGTATCATGTAGGTATTTGGTCATTATAATTGTACTTTTAACTCTTTTTATATGTGTTGGGTAACAAAAATCAGTTTTTCCGTTGAACAACAGTTTAAAATTTTATTACAAATTTGTCGAACATTTCTTTTATTCAAATATTTACTGTAATAAGTTAAGTAATTGTAAATATTCTAGTCTCCAATTTAGGATTTGACAAAACATGCATCACATTAATTTCTGAATTGATTGCAACATCAATTATTCCCTATTTAAAGCTGATACTAATTTACAATTTTTGTTTTTGTTACAGATAACGCCTAAATATGTTACACTCTTCGACAATGAAAATGGTTTCATTGTAGATAGCACATTAGGATTAGTCACATGTAGGTATTTATTCATTACAATTTTTTTATTTAAACTAGGTTTATTAGCTCACCTGGCCCACAGGGCCAAGTGAGCTTTTCTCATCACTTGGCGTCCGTCGTCGTCCGTTAACTTTTACAAAAATCTCCTCTGAAACTACTGGGCCAAATTTAACCAAACTTGGCCACAATCATCACTAGGGTATCTAGTTTTAAAATGTGTCCGATGACCCCGCCTGCCAACCAAGATGGCCGACATGGCTAAAAATAGAACATAGGGGTAAAATGCAGTTTTTGGCTTATATCTCTGAAACTAAAGCATTTAGAGCAAATCTGACTATGGATAAAAATGTTCATCAGGTTAAGATCTATCAGCCCTGAAATTTTCAGATGAATCAGACAACCCTTTGTTGGGTTGCTGCCCCTGAATTAGTAATTTTAAGGAAATTTTGCAGTTTTTTGTTATCTTGAATATTATTATAGATGGAGATAAACTGTAAACAGCCATTATGTTCAGCAAAGTCAGATCTACAAAGAAGTCAACATGACCAATATGGTCAATTGACCCCATAAGGAGTTTTTGCCCTTTAAAGTCAAATTTAACAATTATTCGTAAATTTTTGTAATCTTTTACAAAAATCTTCTCTCCTGAAACAACTGAGACAAATTTAACCAAACTTTGCCACAATCATCACTAGGGTATCTAGTTTAATAAATGTGTCTGATGACCCTGCCTGCCAACCAACATGTCAGACATGGCTAAAAATAGAACTTTGGGGGAAATGCAGTTTTTGACTTGTATCTCTGAAACTAAAGCAAATGTATAACGGTTGCATTATTTCATGCATCAATTGTAAATAAAAATATCAGGTGAGCGACACAGGCTCCTTGGAGCCTCTAGTATTTGTTAGGCATTAAAATCAGTTTTCACTGAAACAACAGATTGAATCTTTATAACAAATTGGTCTAAAATTTCTTTTATTCCTATTTATATCCTAATGAAGTGTATTTTAATAAGAATGTATAGTTATTGTAAATATACGTCTCCAATTTAGGATTTGACATAAAACATGCATCACATTAATTTCTGAATTGATTGCAACAGCAAATAGCTTTGATTTTGAAGCTGAAACTAATTTAAAATATTTGTTTTTGTTACAGATTCTGTCTGAATATGTAAGACTCCTATACCATGAAAGATGCTTCCATTGCAGATAGCACATTAGGATTAGTCACATGTAGGTGTTTATTCATAACAATTGTTCTTAAAACTATGTTTATATTTGTTAGGTAATAAAAATCAGTTTTTCCTGGAACAACAGCTTGAAATTTTATTACAAATTGGTCCTTCATTACATTTATTGAAATATTCACTGTAATGAGATATATTTTAATAAGAATGTATAGTGATTGTAAAAATTCTTGTCTCCAATTAAGGATTTGACATTACAACATGCATCACATTAATTTCTGAATTGATTGCAACAGCAAATAGTCTTGATTAAAAGCTGAAATTAATGTTTATTTTTTTGTTTTCATTACAGATACAGCCTAAATATGTAAGACTCCTATACCATGAAAGATGCTTCCATTGCAGATGCACATTAGGATAAGTCACATGTAGGTATTTGGTCATTACAATTTTCCTTAAAACTATATTAATACTTGTTAGGTAATAAAAATCAGTTTTTTCCTGAAACAACAGATTGAAGCTTTTTAGCAAATTGGTCTAAAATTTCTTTCATTCAAATTTATACTCTAATGCTGAATATTTTAATAAGGATTTACATACAACATGCATCTCATTAATTTCTGAATTGATTGTTTTTTTTTACAGATGCAACTTATATGATGTTTCAGTAGTAGAAGGTGCAGCATGGCAGCAGAAGATGTTAAATTGAGAATGGTGAAGAGACAGTTTAATTCAGAGAATTTGCCAAGTGCCCTCAATATGTCTACAATGATATAACAATCATAATTAAGCCAAAAGATCAATTGTTGGTTGTAATTAATGCCAGCTCTAAATAAGATCTTAAAATAGAAACTATCTTCAAATTTGACAAGTTACCATATCTACATATGAATAAATTAGAATAGTCTGTAAATATTCTGTATTTTCCTTTTTGCATCATCTTTTGAGTAACCAAATCAGAACACCCAATTTGGTGAAATACTTTTTCCTGTTATATCTGTCATTGCTTTTGTAAGATAAAAACAAAAATGTATATGCAGTTTTGTTAAATATATTTAAATTCAAAATTAAAAAAAAAAATCAATTTCAAATTAACACAAACAAAATTGACTTTAACTTTAGTTCATGCACCCTTTAATGTATATCTTAAAAGATTTGTTGTGGACTAAGCAAATATCAAATTATCATTTCAGAAGTACATTTTGCTTGCATGGTATCATCTTCACTAACATTTAACATAGTGGGTTTCGGAGTTACTGAGGTAGTTCTTATTGAGATGTTTCTTGTTTTTTCTATGGAGGAATCAGTGGTTTCTATGTCTTCAGGATATGGTTTTGTCATTCAAAGGGAACTGTCAATGTAATTCTGAAATGATATACATTTGGTATTTTTATTGTCATTGAAAAAGAAACAATATTAGTGCATGAACATTTGAACTGTGAATATATAATATTTAAACTTTATAATTTATAATTTTTAAATCGATTTTGGAAAGTTATTGTATCAAAATTAAATTGTATTTGACACAGTTTGATGGATGAAAATTAGAAAAACTTAATTTATGTTCTAAATTTAAGCACAAGTGAAACAAAATTCCAAATATAAATTTCTGCTTCATTAAAACATTTGGTTAAATGGATCTGCAAAATCACTGATAGCTAACACGGTTAATCCATTTAATTAGGTAGTGTCGTTAAGTATAGTCTAATGGATCCTGTTGATATCCTATTATAAGTATTGATGTATTATAAATCATATTCCTAAATCTAACAAGTCAGATGGGACTGCCCTTGCATCAGTGTCTTACAAATTGTACTGTAATATACTGAACTATAGATTAGCTCAGTGGGTAGATGATAACAATGTACTGGTTGAGGAACAGATTGGTTTACCGCAACTTTGTAGTACAATAGACCAATTATCTACTCTTACTAATTTGATAGATGTGAGAAAAACACTTCCTAAATCAATCTTTTGTGCCTTTATTGATTTTAAAAAGGCTTACGACACTACAAAGAGTTATTTTATGGTATAAACTAAATAAAATTGGTGTTGCACAGACTTTTGTTCTGCTATTAAGTCAATTTATACAAATGTTCTGTAAGAATAAACAGTCATTTCACAGACTGGTTTGATGTAAACACTGGCTTGAAACAAGGATGTCCCTTGTCGCTCATTTTGTTCATCTTGTATATTAATGATTACCATTTCTTAAGTCCTTTGACTGCGGAATAGAAATTGGTGATGAAAAACTGTATTTTATTATATGCTGATGATGATGTTATTATAGCAAACGATGAAAAAGAGCTACAACTTTTGGTAAATGCTTTTTCTACATGATTTGAAGACAATTGTATGACAATTGATACAAACAAGAGTAACATTGTACAATTTAGACCACCATCTATACCTAGATATGATGTAATTTTTAATTGTAATGGTCATACTATAAAGTCTTCTTGTAATGATACTTGGTCTCGTTTTAAACAAGCATTTAGACTAATATCACTGCAAAAGCCGTTGCATCTTCAGCGAATAGAGCTTTAGGGATGGTAATAGCCAAGTGTAAACTTTTAGGGGGTGTTTGTTTCGATGTATTTGTAAAATTATATGAAAGTTTGGTTTGTCCTATAATAGAATATAAAAAGGTATATGGGGTGTAAAAAGATATTCTTGTATAAATTCCATACATAATGGGGCCTATAGATTTTCTAGAAGTAGAAAAATATGCACCAAATGCTGCAGTTACCGGAGACTTGGGTATTATTGTATTATACGTTGATAATTTTATTTTATATTGCATTTTGATTTGTCAATACACACATGTTTTATGGTGTAGGTCAGAGCACCTGACCCTGGAGACGGGATTGCGCACTTGGCATCCACTGACACAGGTTTCTAGAGCTTTTTGATCGATTATATCGTTTTTTATCTCTAGTTGTTCCTGGCCGGCCTTGACTGTCTATGAAGGGGTGCATTTAGTCAAAAGTTGGTTTTGGTGTATTTAGGAAAATCATGGAAGTATTATATTTTACTTCCATGGGATAATATATACATAGGAATTCTATGATTTTGAATTATATATGCATTGCAATAATGATTTATTGAATTTGTGAATATTTATAATACAATCTGGCGTCCATCGAGCATGACGGGCTGTCCGCAAACTAAGATTATGTTTGCATTGTTTATATTTGGCACAAGTATGTAGTTAATACCACCTATTTTTGATAAGCAGTGGAAAAGTATTATTCGTTTGTGGTGTAGATTAAATCATATGAGCTAAGGTCGGATAAATTCAAAAGTTCATTAGTGGGCTGATAGAATGAGTATTAAGCATAAGTTTGCTGAAAACTGGAACTTTTTAGTAAGGAAAACCTTCTCTGAACTGAATTCAAGTCATTTATCGTGTCCTGAAAATATGGACACTAATTATGTTGTTAAACTTTTAATGTCAAAATGAATTTCAGTCACAGAAGTGCTTTTCTCAAATTTAGATGTGGTGTTGCTCCACTAAGGATTTAAACTGGGAAATATGAAAATATTGTTTTAGCTTGTGCCATATATGTTATAGTTTTATTGAAGACGAAGCACATGTTTTATTAAGATGTACTCTTTATGGAGATTTTAGAAACCATTTATATTATGTTGCTGAAAATTTTAATACTTTTGGTTATCATCTTAAGTTTGTGTTTTTATTCTCAGATGTGTTATTCTCAGATGTAAATATGATACATGTGTTCCAAAACCTGTTATTTGATTTTAAAAAGGCGTTGAAATTTTATATATGGAAAATACATGTAGTACTTTATTTCATATTGTTTAATGTATTATATCTATGCATTTTAATAGTCTTTATAATTCTGTATAGAATGGCTCATTTTATTTAGTGTTGTTTTACAATGTATAAATATCGATTGTAATTGTTGAGAGATGACACATGCATAAAACATTGAATTAATTGAACTGAGTTTGTTAGTATTACAATCAATATTTGTGTATGCCTCGCACAAAAAGGTGCAAGCAGGGCCGTACTGGACATCTTCAGTTATCAAGTTTGTTTTTTTATAACAAACACACTGAGATCTGGTATCCAGGAAATTAAAATGAATCAACAATACTTTCATGTATTTTGTACAATAATATTTTTTCTAATTACACCTTACTCATGATGCAGATATGTCTTCATCTAATACTATGATGATGTACTACAGTGGCATAAAAGTAGTTACGATAGGTTTAGGAAGTGTCATTTTGGTATTTATCATGATGCATTAGAATTAAATTTCCCCATGTTTCAAGGAATAACATTGAAAAATAATTTATAAGCCAACACTTCTGGCCAGCAGTCTGTTTTTGAATAATAAGGATTTCTTTAAAACTGTTCAAGTATACCTCCTTTGACAATCTTCCTAGCATTGGGTTATGGAATTTTTCAATTTTTTACCCACTACATTTTCAGTTTTTAGTTGGTTGTTCCATGTCGGCGGGGTCGTCGATGATAGAATTTTTGCCATTATTTGATATTTCACATAAAATACAATGTAAGAGCATTTCATCAATTATAATTGCTACGATTTTCTTTATGTATTTATGCTTATCCTTGTATGCATGTTTATTGTTTTAATGAAGATAAAATCCGATGTCCAAGTTATCGGCAATATGAATATATTATTTGTTTTGTTTAAGCCTAAATATTTGGAAAGATTCGTATATGAATTTTTTTTTGACAAAACCTATGTTACAGCTCATTAACCCCTTCCATGGTGATGTACATGTTCATCAATCCCTTTGTCCTGTCTCAAGTTTGCTTTCCACTCCGATTAATTACAATTTGCCCAATGTCATGGACAACAATAAAATGTAGGTCAAGTTCGATTTTGTCTTAGTTACCTTTAGAGGTGTAATATTACCATTGTTTTCCCCCATTAGTCTTTGTTAAATTTGCACTCTTCTAAAAATTTATCTTTGTTCCAAATAAAGAAATACTTGGCTTTAATCAAGTTTTATTCTTTCTAGCTGTATGGCTACAGACAAAATGTCAAATAACATGTCATTGTATATACGATGATTACCATCGCTGGAAGTTCACCAATCAAATGTTCTCCCCTTTTTTCCTGTGTACAAGCTTTTGTAACCATGTAACCTCAAGATTCCTAAATAGTCTATAGAAACACCAAACCAGAGGCTCTGACGATCCTGTGTCGCTCACCTGGTTCTACTTTGGTTGTGGAAATCATGTAAAAATAGATTAAAATCATAACAGATACCCTAATAATAATTGAGACCACGTTTGCTACAAAGTAACACTTGATCAGCACCTCATAAGGAACATTCATGCCATGTTTAGTTTCATTACATTCAGTGGTTCTTCAAAAGAAGACTTTTGTATGTATTTCACATAGGGTCCTTTGTTAAACTAAGTTCCCCGCTGGAAACCATCTTGGATAATTGATTGGCTACAAAGTAACAACACTTGGTCAGCGCCTCATTAGGAACATTCATTTCATGTTTGGTTTCATTCCATTCAGTGTTTCTCTAAAAGAAAACATTTGTATGTATTGTCCATATGGTCCTATATTAAACGAAGCCCCCCTCTGGCGGGCATCTTGGATGATGGATCAGCTACAAAGTAACAACACTTGGTCAAAACCTCATAAGGAATATTCATGCAATGTTTGGTTTCATTCCAATTAATGATCCTTAAAAGAAGTTCAAAATGTAAAAAGTTACGACGACGGACGACGGACGCCAAGTGATGAGAAAAGCTCACTTGGCCTTTTAGGCCAGGTGAGCTAATAAAAAAAGAATGGTGCTTTGAAACACCCAAGCTGTGATTATGACTCGGAATTTTTTTTTTACTGCAATGAAATGTTGGATAAATTGCCTTCAACTGGCAAATTCAAGGGGATATTTTTTTCGAACCTTCTTCGTATGCAACCGGATGTGACGTACTATAATATGATAATACTGCATGCTCACATCTTTTGAAACAAACACGGGTCTAGTTTGTTTTTGATATGGTTTTGACATTTATCCTTCAAAAGACCTGCCTTGGAATTGCTTAAAAACTACATTTCTTTGCATTCTGGATGGTGATTCATGATAGTACCACTTGATCCAATCCTTAGAAATTTGTTCAGTTTCATTGATCATCGAGTACAGGTCAATGTCCACATAAATGGTTTTGACATTGACAGTACACTTTGACAGTACATTGAGTGTCCTTTAGCCTGGGTTACCTTATTTATTTATTCTCATCACTGTGTGCGTCGTTGTTAATTTTAGAAAAAATATCTCTGAAACTGCTAGGCCAAATTTAACCAAACTTGACCAAACTATTCATTGGGGTATCTAGTTGAGCGCTTTCCAACCAACATGGTCGACATGGCTTACAATAGAACATAGGTGTCAAATGCAAATCTGTTTTATCTTGAAAACTCTTAATAAATAGAGAAAATCTTCATTTTTGCCTTTTATCTTGAAAACTAAAATAAATAGAAACTTTAACAGCAGAAAATACTAGCAAGATCTACAAATAGAAAAGTCAACATGGCTGAAGTTGTCTTGGCGATTTCTTATTTAAGTAATTGCGACCCTTTTCGGATGATTTTTACTGCATTTTGTGGGCGGTTTGTTAATATAGTAATACTCTTCACAGAGGTGAAAATATTTTTATTGCACCTTTTTGTATGTCCAAAATAGGGGGCATTGTTCTTTGAACCACAAAAATAAACCTTGTAGCCTCCAGTTTCCATAATTTTTATATAGAAATAACCTTGTGTCCATTTGTTTCCGCCTGTATCCTTTGTTTCTTTAATTCTTAATAATATATGGAAAAAGATTTGAGTCCACTTGTGTCCGCTATTTATATATAAAGAGGTAGGGCCAATTTCCCCTGAAATTTCTTCACAGAAGGGCCAATTTCAAAAAGTGCTGAAAGGATAAAATTAACGATAAAAACATGAAATAGAAATGTTTTTTGGTCAATATCTCGATTTTTATGTATTATGTTATTTCTGGAAAATAGTTAATTTAACCTCCAAACTAGAGGCTCTCAAGAGCCTATGTCGCTCACCTGACTCTACTTTGGTTTTAGAAATCATGTAAAGATAGATAAAAATCATAACAGATACCCAAATAATGATTGAGGCCAAATTTTGATTAATATTGGTCCCGTTATTTAATAAAATATCCTGGTGGCCATCTTGAACAGTAAATCGGCAACAAAGTAGCAACACTTGGTCAGCACTTCATAAGGAACATTCATGCCATGTTTGGTTTCATTCCATTCAGTGGTACTCTAAAAGAAGACATTTGTATGTATTTCCCATAGGGTCCTATGTTAAACTAAGCCCCCCCCCCCCCCCCCCCTAGCTGCCATGTTGGATGATGGATCGCCTGCAAAGTAACAACACTTGGTCAGCAACTCATAAGGAACATTCATGCCATGTTTGGTTCAATTCCATTCAGTGGTTCTCTAAAAGAAGACAATTGTATGTATTTCCCATAGGGTCCTATGTTAAACTAAGTCCCCCGCTGTCGGCCATCTTGGATGATGGATCGGCTGCAAAGTAACAACACTTGGTCAACATCTCATAAGGAACATTCATGCCATGTTTGGTTCCATTCCATGTATTGGTTCTCTAAAAGAAGACATTTTTATGTATTTCCCAAAGGGTCCTATGTAAAACTAAGTCCCCTGCTGGCAGCCATCTTGGATGATGGATCGGCTACAAAGTAACAATTCTTGGTCAGCATCTCATAAGGAAGATTCATGCCATGTTTGGTTTCATTCCATTCAGTGGTTCTCTAAAAGAAGACATTTGTATGTATTTCCCATAGGTCCTTTGTTAAACTAAGTCCCCTGCTGTCGCCCATTTTGGATGATGGACCAACTGCAAAGTAACAACACTTGGTCAGCATCTCATAAGGAACATTCATGCCATGTTTGGTTCCATTCCATTCAGTGGTTCTCTAAAAGAAGACATTTTTATGTATTTCCCATGGGGTCCTATGTTAAACTAAGTCCCCCGCTGGCGGCCATCTTGGATGATGGATCAGCTACAAAGTAACAACACTTGGTCAGCACCTCATAAGGAACATTCATGCCATGTTTGGTTTCATTCCATTCAGTGGTTCTCTAAAAGAAGACATTTGTATGTATTTCCCATAGGGTCCTATGTTAAACTAAGTCCCCCGCTGGCGGCCATCTTGGATGATGGATCGGCTATAAAGTAACAATACTTGGTCAGCACCTCATAAGGAACATTCATGCCATGTTTGGTTTCATTCCATTCAGTGGTTCTCTAAAAGAAGACATTTGTATGTATTTCCCATAGGGTCCTATGTTAAACTAAGTCCCCCGCTGGCGGCCATCTTGGATGATGGACCGACTGCAAAGTAACAACACTTGGTCAGCATCTCATAAGGAACATTCATGCCATGTTTGGTTCCATTCCATTCAGTGGTTCTCTAAAAGAAGACATTTTTATGTATTTCCCATAGGGTCCTATGTTAAACTAAGTCCCCCGCTGGCAGCCATCTTGGATGATGGATCGGCTACAAAGTAACAACACTTGGTCAGCACCTCATAAGGAACATTCATGCCATGTTTGGTTTCATTCCATTCAGTGGTTCTCTAAAAGAAGACATTTGTATGTATTTCCCATAGGGTCCTATGTTAAACTAAGTTCCCCGATGGCGGCCATCTTGGATGATGGACTGACTGCAAAGTAACAACACTTGGTCAGCATCTCATAAGGAACATTCATGCCATGTTTGGTCTTATTCCATTCAGTGGTTCTCTAAAAGAAGTCATTTGTATGCATTTCCCATAGGGTCCTATGTTAAACTAAGTCCCCCGCTGGCGGCCATCTTGGATGATGGATCGGCTACAAAGTAACAACACTTGGTGAGCACCTCATAAGGAACATTCATGCCATGTTTGGTTTCATTCCATTCAGTGGTTCTCTAAAAGAAGTCATTTGTATGCATTTCCCATAGGGTCCTATGTTAAACTAAGTCCCCCGCTGGCGGCCATCTTGGATGATGGATCGGCTACAAAGTAACAACACTTGGTCAGCACCTCATAAGGAACATTCATGCCATGTTTGGTTTCATTCCATTCAGTGGTTCTCTAGAAGAAGTTCAAAATGTAAAAAGTTAACGCCGACGACGGACGACGCCGGACGACGACGGACGACGGACGACGGACGCCAAGTGATGAGAAAAGCTCACTTGGCCCTTCGGGCCAGGTGAGCTAAAAAGGATGAAAGTCAAATATGAGGAATTTACCGTGTTTTTAGGTTGGAAAAACAGGGAATCCCCCTAGAAGGACACTTCAAACCAAAACATAGTTATGTTTTTTGTTGTTGTTGTAATTTATACAACTTTTCCCCTCAAAAATGAAATTGGTTTAGTGTGTCCTTAATACCTAAAAAACAACTTTTTTAATAAAAAGTGGAACATCGCTAAATTTTACCTATATAGATGCTTAATATCATGTTTTCAAGAGTCGCCGTGGCTCCATCGGTAGCGCTTAAAACTGTAAATAATGGATTGTTTTTAAGATGGGGTTCAAATCTCACGCCAATTTTTCTCATTTTTTATGTTGAAATATTAAAATGTTATGTTTCTATCACATTTTTTCGGATGTTTGTTTAAT